ACACGGGGACACGGTCAGGGACAGGGTCAGGGATGGGGACAGGGACAGGGGACAGGGTCAGGGACATGGGGACAAGGTCAGGGACAGCCACAGGGACATGGGGACACAGGGACAGGGACAGGGACAGGGGACACGGGGACAGGTGACCCAGCCCACCCAGGCACTGCCCGGCTCCTGCCCCACAAACAGCCGCACCGAGTAGTAGTACTGGGGACAGGGACAGGGACACGGTCAGGGACATGGGGACAGGGACAGGGACACGGTCAGGGATGGGGACAGGGACAGGGGACACAGTCAGGGACATGGGGACAGGGACAGGGGACACGGGGACACGGTCAGGGACATGGGGACAGGGACATGGGGACATGGGGACAGGGTCAGGGATGGGGACAGGGACAGGGGACAGGGTCAGGGACATGAGGACAGGGTCAGGGACAGCCACAGGGACATGGGGACACGGGGACAGGGACAGGGGACACGGTCAGGGACATGGGGACAGGGACAGGGGACACGGGCACACGGTCAAGGACAGGGTCAGGGATGGGGACAGGGACAGGGGACAGGGTCAGGGACATGGGGACAGAGTCAGGGACATGGGGACAGGGACAGGGGACAGGGTCAGGGACATGGGGACAAGGTCAGGGACAGCCACAGGGACATGGGGACACAGGGACAGGGTCAGGAGACATGGGGACAGGGACATGGGGACATGGGGACAGGGACAGGGACACGGTCAGGGACATGGGGACAGGGACAGGGGACACGGTCAGGGACAGCCACAGGGACAGGGGACACAGTCAGGGACATGGGGACAGTCAGGGACATGGGGACACGGTCAGGGACGGGGACAGGGGACACAGGGACAGGGACAGGGGACAGGGTCAGGAACATGGGGACAGAGTCAGGGACATGGGGACAGGGACAGGGACAGCCACAAGGACATGGGGACAGGGTCAGGGATGGGGACAGGGACAGGGGACATGGTCAGGGACTGGGGACATGGGGACAAGGGACACATTTTGGGGGTTTTTGGATCCGTACCGTGGTGGTGTTCATGATGACCTCGGGCTTTGGGGGATTTTGGGGTTTGGGGGTTTTTGGGCGATTTTTGGGGAATTTTTGGTGGTTTTTGGGGTCCGCACCGTGGTGGTGTTCATGATGACCTCGGGCTTTGGGGGATTTCGGGGTTTGGGTATTTTTGGGGGTTTTGGGGGGATTTTTGGGGTCCGTACCGTGGTGGTGTTCATGATGACCTTGGGCTTTGGGGGATTTCAGGGTTTGGGGATTTTTGGGGGATTTTTGGGGGGTTTTGGGGGGTTTTTGGGGTCCGTACCGTGGTGGTGTTCATGATGACCTTGGGCTTTGGGGGATTTCAGGGTTTGGGGATTTTTGGGGGATTTTTGGGCGATTTTTGGTGGTTTTTGGGGTCCATACCGTGGTGGTGTTCATGATGACCTCGGGGTCGTCGCGCTCGTCGGGCACCACGTCCTCCTCCAGCCGGGGCACGGGAGGGGGCGCGGGGGGGGGCGCGAACGGCGTCTTCCGCCCCTTGAACAGGAACCTGGGGGGCACCGGGGGGGTCACCCCACTTTGGGGACCCCCAGGGAACCCCCAACATCCGGGGAACCCCATACACCCCTTAACTGCCAGACTGGGGACGCCCGGGGACCCCCCCCCAGGGATGGGTGTCCCCCCCCCCGTGGGGACCCTCAGGGATTGGAGACCCC